ACGAGGGACCAAGTCCACAACAAGATCGAGAATCTGTGCAGCACTTATCGGTAAGGAAAACTTCACACGTTTGGTGTAACCTGCTAATCCTACGAACACACACACGCCAAACAGTGCCGATAGGGACGACCGTTCAATTTGCGCGGCGCGCAAAGACAGGGCTCGCCTACCTGCAGTGTTTGTCTCGCGTGCCGTGTTCGGCCACCGCTCCTTTGCGTAGCTCGTACGCGTTTTGAGTAGCCGTCTTCGCCTGCAGCAATGTTCAAAGCTTCACAGCTGACTTGCCATGTTTCATGATCTCCGAGGCTCAAACCACATAAGACATCGGTACTGAAGAGCTAAACTCACCTAGGAGCAAAATCCGTTGAAATCTACAGGGCGAGTCAAAGGGATCGATGACTTTTTGAAGGGACGGCATAAATCGGTTTCTAAACGTATCAAGCTACAATTTTGCATAAAGGTGTCGGTGAACGTGCATCAAGGGTACAAAAAAATTCACTGAAGAAACTTGAGTAAACAGTCAGAAATTAAAAACATTAAATTCCTTCCCACGGCGACCCGAAGGTGTCTGATTGGCGCAACAGTCGGACTCGACAGATATCAGCAGTGCTCTCAGCGTCGACAGCAGTGAAGACACCGAGTACCGCATTTTTCAGAGTCGGGTTTAGTGATGACAACTCTTGTTGTGGCTTGTTTTGGTTTTACCCCTCCTCGTTGAGGCGCTTCACACAGCCCAGAGGTTGCCGTCAAAACTCCACCCAGAAGCAGTGGGATCCGTATGCCCTTAAAGCGCTTGCTTCGACCCCCTTTGTAGAGTCTTAGTCCGACACGTTCAGAAACAGATTTTTGAGTTTCCTTCAAACAGCCATCAATCCCTTCGACTTCAACTATTTTATATGTATTTGTGTGTTGTAAGCAATAACAGGCAATGCCACAGAAGGTCTAACCTGACATTGCGATACGATTAGAAAGTAAAACATGCTGATTTTTATGTGCTGGCACTATATACATGGTTATCACTGACATCATACCACTTGCTGTTGTGGCAGCTGGTATATGTGTCCCTTCTGCAGCATATGTTCCACCCCACTGAGGTTGTTTTTTTGAGCAATAATAAGTAGAACTGGCCACCTGCACAATGCCATGACGTCACATGCAAGCCACGTAAAACAGGTAGCATCATGTGTGCGCCAATCTTCAATCTGAAGGTGGTTTGCAAAGCGATTTCTGTTTATTAGGTGTTGTGAGTGTTGCATGTACATTTACGGAACTACATGAATGTGACACTTACAGCTGCCTTAATATTTAGGAAACATGCACGGGAAGGCACCACCACGGGATCCGGGAAGCAGACCTGGGCCTACTACTTCGCCATCCACAGGTTCATGGGGTCGCTACCGCTCAACAACAGCAGCCTGGTCGTAGAGAGCTGCCTGGACCGTGCAACGCCTGCAGTAGTGCAGGTCGGCTGGTGATATCAATCTTTCATAACAAGGTTTCTGTATTATTAGATATTCAACGGTTCCTACATACACCAACTCGTGTTTACAAACAGATCGGCAAGCTCTTATACGAAAAACAAGTCGTCTGCTTCCGACCTACCTGTCAGAGATCCAGTGATTCTGCATGAACTGGGACTCGTCCTTCATCAAATAGAAGAGGAAATACCTCAAAGGCTACACTAGCGCTTCCGAAGAATGGCTACTGTCCTTTATGTGCCCTCGTTGGAGGTTCCTAGACGGGCCATCGGCAATGCAATGGTGACGATACCGAAAGTGGAGCAGGCGACTGCAGGTCTCTCACTTGTCGGGTAAGTTAGTCCTCGTGTTGTTACTTCGGGGAGCTAAGGCTGCTGTATAGAGCAGCTCTATGCTTCGTTTCACGATAACTTGGCGAACTGTGGAGGCTGCAGCTTCCGCGACCCAATAAGAGTGTCTGAGCAAGGCACGTGACAACACTCCATAATCGAGGCCACGGAGCTAAGCCTCGTTACCACCACAACAACAGCATTGTCCGTGACAAAAAGTTGTTCTAGGCTTCTTTTACCGTTAGTAGTGTTGCAGTGAGACCCTTCTGTCCGCCACACTACATGACACGGAAGATGTAGACATGTTACTTTTTTTTCCAATGATACTTAATACGGATCAACCCTTTCCCAGGAACAATATGGCTTTTGAATGATATGTGAACGATTGCAGCCGTGTAATCCACCACTTCCGCTCAAACATCGCATTGTGCCGTGGCATTAGCACCCACCACAGATTCGCTAGTAAATTGAACGTATGGTTGTCTCATAAACTGTTTCCAAAGAGCTCACTACTCTAGCGGATGGCAATGTTGCGCCGGTGAATGTTCATCTGAAGTTGGTTGGTTTCACAGCAGACGACCTTTGATCAGCAGATGACAGCCAGTTCCTCCAGGTCTTGATTTTGGAGCAGTGACACAAACGCTCCCGTGACATAGAGTCACATGCCTCGCTCCAACGCTGTTTTTGGGTCGCAGGAGCCGTAGCCTCCACAGTTTGCCAAGTTATCGTGAAACAGAATATAGGCAAAACCAGTGGTGTAATTGGTAGACTTCTGACAAAAGGTGGTGGCCAGGTAGTTCTTCAGCGAGCAGTTGGTGGATGGGTGTCAGTTCATTGAATATAGTTAAGGAAGGAGTTGAAGAAGCCAAAGATGACAGCAGATTCCTCATGCCCGTGCGTCCGAAAGTGATGGTACATCTGTTCAATGATGCAACATGCCTCACACCGATGCACTTTTGGAATCACGAGGGTGTAGCTTCCAAAGTTTGCCAAGTTGTTGTGAGATGGATTATAATACCTGAATTGCGGTTTAATATGAATATCTGATTGTATGGAAATTTTCTCAGTTGCTTGCAGGCTTGCAGGATGGAGGTGCAGAGGATGGCGAGGTGTTCGAGGAGCCACCTATGGACATGGGAGACGACTCACATGATGTCGGAGCCGCTGGAGTCGGCTTCGAGGCTCCAGATTTGAGCGGGCACAGAGGAGAAAGCTTGGCCGCAAGCTCAAGTAGGGCGAGCACCGCGAGCACCAGCTGCGCTGCAAGCACCTCTGCCAGCAACGGCGTGTCCGTGCCAGCGAGGGCGCCTCCAAAAAAAAGGGCTCAGCACCCTAATACTGCCCTCATTAGGGCAGCAATTGAGCCGTTTGAGCTTTGAAGCCGCTCGAGCAAAGGAATTCGAGCTCCGGGAGCGGGAGCTCCTTCAGAAAGAACTTGTGTTGCAAGCGCAAGAACGTGCTTTGAAGCAACAAGAACGTGCTGCGAAGGCGCAGGAAGACCTGACTGCGGCGATGATCGCTTTTCTAAATAAAGCACCAAAGTAAGCGGATGGAGCACATTTGTGTTGTACTTTGGAGCAATTATTCATCTAGCTATGGTATTTGATATGTCTTTATTGTTAACATGCACAATTCCAAGTGTTCTACTACGCATTAATATTCATACTACCCCCCCCACCCCCCCACCCACACACAAAAGAAAAATGTTATGGAAAGTGACACTCCTGTGTCTCGCTGTTATAGTGACTGACAGGGCGAGAAGGGTAGCCACCTCGGTGGCTCCGAGGCGAGGGTGGTGGCCTACGGATCCCATGTGGCGGGTTCGAATCCCGGCCGAGGTGCCCGCAATCTGACGGAGGCTTATTGCAGAGGAGGCGCCGTGTAACCAAGCTTTCAGTATAGTCAAAAGATCCCCAGGTGGTCACAATTAATCCTCAATCCTCCGCTGGGGCGTGCCAGATGCCCATCGTTGGTTTGGCATGTAAAGCCCCCAAATTTGACTTGGAGCGAGAAGAGTGAATCTTTCCGAAACTCCAGCATCTCCAGTTAATATTGGGGAGGAGATCAGACCCTGACACCCCAAGTGACTAACTTTAGAACTACACAGATGGGGACGAGAAATAACAATGAGCCAGCGCTTGGCTGACGAAACCGAACGCTGCGTCAGCGTTTGGCTGGAGTTTGTGTTCGGTTGCTTGCGGGGAACGAGGGGCTCTTTTGTTTCTACTCCGGCCTGCATGAAGAATGCAGCATGCAAGGTGCATATGCCCAGCTCGGCACAAAAGCCGAAGTGGGTCAAGCTCGCATTCTCCGACAACTGCTTTCGGGAGAGATCCGGCACCAACGATAAACGTGACTGTTTCGTGTTAGTATTTGTATGTTACACTACCCTGCGCTCTATTGCAGAAAATGAGGCGAACATGACCACAAGGCCTATGGGCATGTCCACAGACGTGTCGGGTAAACACCGAGGTGTGGGGACAACAAATAAGTTGGAGCAATACCACTTAGAAGACAAGGCCTTCGCATGACCTTTGGTTAGTAGATCCCTGACCCGCCCCAAGCGGCAAACAGCCCGAAGCTTGACGAGAGTATGGGTCACGTCGCAACTACGTCTCGTTCGCTGGCGGCCACAGCTGTGTGCGCGCGACTGCAGAGTGCGATAGAGAGCTTCCACAGTTATTTGCAATGTGAAGACAACTACAAGATTGCCTGTATTAGCAGCCTACTAATGTAATTTCTCGCGACACTATTGGTTGCCGGTCTTAGCAGCTTGTTAATGTGAGCTCGTTCTGAGCATGACCACTGAAGCAGGCAATGGAGCAGACGATGGTGCTCATCCGGGCTACCTAAAGGGTGCTAAAGGGATCTACTATTGATTATGTTTAGAGGAGCAAACACGCAGGCCTTGATCTCCTCACCAATAGTACCTAGCAAGTTCCACATCTAGTACTGATAGGCCAGACAGGAATGCAGAGTGGACACAAGTACTATGTTAGTGACTCAAAAGAAAGTTTCAACTCTCTTTTGAGAAGCCTTCGGCCTGGAACTTATGCCCAAACCGTGTCTCGTGCTACCCTGCCAGATGGGGCATCAAAGTTGAAACGTGCACACCTCTACCATCTTCATTCAGACATAAAAAAAAAAGATAAAAACTGAAAAATGGTTGAAATGTTCAAATAAATACTGCGGTTTAACTTCATTTGAGACAACGGGAGGAGGCATCGAAAGAAGTCAGCTCTAAAGCCAAATTTTTTTGGCCCTGAGAAGGGCCTTTGCTGGGGCTCAAAAGGGCCTTTTCTTCTGTGGTGGTGAAGGGGTCTTTGCTCTGCTGGTCCTCAAAAGGGCCTTCGTTCCGGTGGAACTCGAAAGGGCCTTTGCTTCGCTCTTCACTCTAGTGCTGGTGAAGGTAGGCAGCAATGGAGTCCCGGACACTCGAACCATTGCCTGCCACGGCATCCGTGTTGCAGACTGGCTGCTCGTAGAGGCGGGCCTCCGTGCCAACTTCGGTGAGCCACTGGGACTCCACGCCGTCGTTGAAGTGCTCGCAGATGTTATTCAACGTGCAGCAAGCCCGTATAACGAAGCGGGCGTTGTCCACGTCGCACTCCAGCCGCTTCATGATGAAGCGGAACCGTGCCTTGATCCTGCCGAAGGCGTTCTCCACGACCCTACGTGCAGACGAAAGTTGCCGGTTGAACTTCTCCTGCGGAGACTGTCCCGCGACATTCTTGCGTGCGTATGGCTTCAGCATGTTGCACGTCAGAGGAAAGGCTTGGTCGCAGAGAACCAGTGGCGGCACGGCAGTCCCGTTGATGGTGACCATTGGTGTTGTAAACGTTGGCCCTTCCAGAATTTTGGCCAGTGCCGACCTCCGAAAGACATGCGCGTCGTGGCACCGCCCTGGCGTCCCCACGTTGACGTACCGGAACCGGTACCGGTGGTCTACAAGGGCCAGGAGAATGATGCTGTACCTGGAGAAAAAAATACAATGCATGCGTCAGTTTTTCACACATAATACGTGAGGCTTCGGGTTTTCCTAAAGCTGTAGATTCAAAAAGAAAATTTTTACACATTATCAGAGCTAGCACGGCACATTATTGAAAATGACAAGCTAACAATCACCTGCTAGCATCTCGTGTTTCGGTAATGTTTCGTCATTTCCACCTCATTAAACGCGGAATACATTTTAGCGCTGAAAACATGACACAAAGACGAGAATCGGACGCCACAGTGCGATTCTCGTCTTTGTGTCCTTGTGCTTTGAGCGCTAAAATGTATTCCAAGTTCCAAAACGAACTAGCCCAACAATCTACTCTACTGAAATCCATTAAACGCAGCTATTTTTGTTTTGTTTTGTTTTAATTAGTGTACTTACCAGCCCTTGTAGTTGTAGTAGTCGCTGGCGTTGACCTTAGGTGGCGACACGGGGAAGTGGCAGCCGTCCAGCGCGGCTATGCCCTGCGGAAATTCCAGGGCAGCCTGGAACTCGCGGACGTGGTCGGGGAGTTCGGCGGCGGTCATCATCTTGAGCCAGTCGCGCTCCAGCTCGGAAACGACGATGTGGCAGAACTCTTTGTAATTATCGTTGACCGTTGACCGCCCCAGGCCGAACAAGTGGGCGACGGTCCTGTCTTCCGCGCTAGAACACAGCTTGTAGAGCGCAGCTCCAACTCGTTTCTCGACCGATATAGTGGGGCGCATAGGGGTGACCTGGCGCTCCATGTGGGGCCGACAAACGTCCACGATGTACCGAAAGGTCGCCGGCATCACCCGGAAAGCCTGCTTGAAGTGGCTCTCCGGCAGGTTCGGTAGCGTCTCCTCAAACCATCGTTCACCCCGAAAGTACGCTTGGACGCTCCGCGGCATGGTCGTTTCTCCTGCTGTCGCTGCAGCGATGACCAGGCTGTTTGCAAGAAGCCTTTCCTCGAGGAAATCAGCTTCTCGTCGGGCAGACTGAACGTCGGAGCTGATCGACGTCAAAGCCTCCGTGATCGACGACAAAGAACTATTCAGCGATGCTAAACCACTTTCATGGTGGTTGCGCAGGCACACCAGGAACGCGACACGAGACGCAGGGTCCATCGTAGCCGGATCAACATCGGGAGGAAGATCCATCGAAGGAACAAACTGGGGCAACTGCGTTGAAACTCGAGCGCGAGCACGACGCCGAACTGAACAGGGCAAAAGCGTAAAGAACGGGAAGGAGTGCGCGCACTGAGCAACAGGACCGAGCAAGGGAACCTGGCAACGCCCCTCCGAGCGAGCGGGCGACGCTCAGGGTTGCCGCTAATTGCCAAAAAACCACTGTGCATGGGCATAAAGCAGACATTGTTGTAATCACTCGACTAAACTCGTCATTTTGTTTTTTTTAATATTTTGTTTGCTTTAGAAAAACTTTAAAAAAATATTTATATCGCGGAAATATTATCTTTCAGGCGTGAACGTGCTTTATGCGTTTGAACGAGCTGCGGGAGTTCAATCGCTGTAAACATCCTCCAAATGACATTTACTTGTGCCGTCTGGCACGGCAGAACGTAAAGGTCATTTGAAAATCCTGAAGGCCTTTGGCGTAAAGGTCCTTTTAGGTGCCCGTCTGGCAGGGGTATGACACTGCACACTGCGTTTTCGCCTTTTATACTCATCGTTTTGAAGGTGTAGATATTCTCAATGGTCATCTTAGAAATAAATAATGTCATAAGCGTGTCAATTTTTTTCTCACTGATGCCATCGATGGGAAGATATTTTTAACGGCACAGGGGTAAAAAGTGAACGTTCACGCTGTCGTTTTTTTGCGACAGCCAATAAAACAACACGCTGCACTCCGGTTCCTAGCAGCCGTGTGTTTACTTCCCCACAAAGGACGTCCTAGGGTGGCGCGAGAGACGCCAGTTTTTCTATCATAATATTTTTTTTTTTTTTTGTGATATTCGTGTGTGGCGGCAGTGATCGTCGTGAATTAACTTCTGTTAGGGGGATATTCACTCCTCAGCTGAAAGAGAGTGTTTTGTACGGTTAGCTAGTTCGAAAACGGAGCACTGGGTGTTTCGAAGTGATCCCTTTCTGACCCATGGTCAGTTTAATATTTTTACGGTTACCCTGATTCGTCAAAATCTCATGAATTTGGCAACGTTAAGAGGACTAGAAAATACACATTCGAAATTAAAGCGCGTTTAGAGCTCGATCTAATCATCTCGGGTTCAATTTAATCTAAATAAATTGCACGAACGCCGTTTTGGCCAGAGAAAGGGACTAAATAGCCTAAGGTGGTTAAAAACATGTGTCCTTTGGCAGCCACGTGTAGATCCCGGAAACGTCGTGTACGAAAATCAAAAAGAAAAAGCGAGAACAGGGGCAGGTAGGTTTTGGGGGCTCGGCTACAAGCCGACTGTCGAGTAAAAACTATCCGGCTATAGCACAAAGCAACTTTGACTAGCGCCAAATATGTCGTTCTGTGTCATTTTCTTCAATGCTAATATTCCAAATGGAAATACACTGGCGTGCTTCGGTTCCGTCATATTTCAAGCATGTTCAGTCATTCCCTGAAAGCCCAATCGCTTCGGGGAGAGGACAAACAGGGCATTCCAGACGACAGTTTCATTGGTCACTATACGATCGGAGCTACTTTTCAGCGTTCCGACATGACTATCTGCCGATCGATCAATGGCACCATAATCGCTGAAGCGGGCTTATTAAACTCTTGAAAAGCAGAATGTCAACCGCCGACCGCACACCTATGTGTACGGTTGGAGGTGTTCAAAATATTGCTAGAATGGATCCAAGTTACTCAGGCGGATCATGTCATCTGACAAGACGGAGGAGCAACGCTGGACGCAGATAGATATTCGAACGCCAGCGTATATATTATCTTGACCCTGAGTGAGATGCAGTAAGTTTTGGAACACGGCCCTAATCTCGCCTCGCGGCTACATCACTGGTACGCGAACACACATAGAGACATCGACGACGATATTCTAGACTTCGTTCGCAACGCACAACACTGCAATGGAGATGTTGGTGACTCACGGGAATACATAATCGCGTTTATTGTCTGATGGCATTCGGTAACACGAAACAGATAGAAACGTAGCGCAGGAGACTAGACGTTACTTGGCAGAAAAACCTGTCTGACTTGGACGCAAAGTTGCGGAGACGGCCATTTTAGCCTTGTGTATGCGTAGCACCGCTGCCACTGCTTTGGAATTTCGCGGGTTCTAAAGGCTTCGTTTGCTCATTTGGCAAAATTAGCGGTAAAAGTGTCGATGAACCGAGCTGCTCTGTGTGTTTGAACTGGGAGACTGAATTACAGGCAGCCTTCGTTACCGTTGACGCTCAGTCAGCTCAATGGCGTTTATTAAAATAACGTGTACGATGTGCCCCAAAAACGAAACCGAAAAAAAGGTGAGGCCGGAAGGAAGAATTTTCCTGCCGTCTGTCTAGAGAAGGAGAAAACAGCTAGTTTCTCTCTTCCTCTCGTATCTCCTTGAAAGAGCGTCAGTTGATGAAAAAAAACAAACAAAAAAAAAAACGCCGTTGTTATTTTTTTTTAGATTGTAACTCCGCTAACAGTACCCGATATGGTGGATACTTGGGCTAGTTGTGTATAGTACCCGATATGTAGAGTAATTATGTATAGTACCCGATATTCCACCGACACATTTGCACATGCGTTGTATCGTTATCGGGTATCGTTATTGGATCGAGGTATCGGAACAATCTACTAGAACTCCTTAATGTGCCAATGCTGACTGTTGGGCGAGTCCGTGCTGAATCTTTGAAAACTTGTCGGCCCTTATATATGGCTTGCACTCACGTCACATCAGCGGTTATTTCAGGGGCCTTGCTACTGAGCGAGTGCATTCTGCAGCGTAGATTTCGCTTATTCGGACTTGTTTTTCTCGGCAAGAACAAGTATAAATGACCACGAGCAGCACGCGATAACGTCGCGTGTAAGTCATGTATAGACACGGACAAAACGAAAGAAGAAGACAACACAATGCGCTAGCGCGCGTGTGTATGAAGGCACTCTACAATGCGCTACTTTGTACTGTTCAATAGTCAAAAATGTGCGATATTTTATGTAGAGCTAAACAGTGTGAACAAACCTTAAAGGGTAACTGCAAAGAAAAAAAGGCGTATTTTTAAACGGCCTAATTGGAACAAGCATGTCACAAAACAATTTTTCCGCGAACAAAAAAATATTCTACAGCAATATTTATTGCGCGAGACTGATTTTAGTTTGCGGCTATTTCGTCCGTTTTAAATCGCGCGCCACAAAGCTGGTATTATACGTCATGGAGTGGCTGTTATGCGTCCAGGAGTGACATATTACAGCCAGTCCGCGCGCGTCGAAAGAGCGGGAATTTCAAATGTGGAGAAGTTGTGATCCCGACTAAATTACGTCCTGTGGCGTAAATATTGCTAGAAAAAAAATTGTTTTTTCGTGGGAGATTTGTTTTGTGACATGTTTGTCTCAATTAGGCTGTGGGAGGCATAATCACAGCAATTCTTGCTCCAGAACGCCGTCTGACGGCGGCCCCTGGTGCCTGCTCCAAGGCGCAGAAGAGGCGCACGTCCCGGTCTGGTGATTAGGTTTGTAAGAGGAAAATCGGTCGCCGATAAATGTAATTTCGTTGTTTCTTTCATGATGCTTAGAGCCCGTTGAGGCAGTTGTCACTATAAAATGATGATCTTGGAATCGAAACGAGTGTCCTCTTAAGCCGCGATCGCACTGCTAATACATCATACAAAACAAGGCCTGCAGAACCTGTCTTGATGTGTCTCATTTCTTGTACGATGGTCCTCTCATATTGGTCATGCAAAATAACTCCCTGCAGAACATGTTCGAAGTATACATCTTGCATGAAGCACACATGGTTAGAACATGCCTGAGGCGTGACGACAGATATTTATGTCATCGTCATCATGTCTGCAGAGAAACTCCGTGACTTCTGTACGATGGATGAGCCTTGAGACTACGAGGTTGAGTTCTTGGTGACTGAATCACCCGGGCTCGTTTGTTTGCTTTCTTCGTATCTAGATGGTACCGGAGGGACGACTGCCACGGAGGTGATTCGAGCCCCGGAGGTACCGAGGACAACGCCCTATCCTTACTGCGAGAAGAGGAGCTTAGCGTTGGACGTACGTCGTCGCTCTGCCGAAGAAAGGCGCAGCCAATTCGACAGCTTCTTTGGTTGTCAGCTTCCGCCCGCCCCGCGCAATGGTTTTGCGATTCTGAGGAGAAATAAGAATCGACTTGTGTTTTTCTGCGAACGCGGCTTCAGGCCCACGTCTGCCAAACCCATGACCTGCAACGGAAGTGTGTGGAACGGGACGCCGCCCAGATGTCTCAACGGCACAGGTGAGATATATACCGTTTCGAAAGCAACTTCTCCGTTGCTCCGTTTTTACTGAATGTCACTTTGTATCAATGTGTACGGAACACTGATCCGTCCACACTTATGGCTGGTTCACACACTTGCGACTGCTTGCGACCCAGCGTGTAACGACCCCTAGCGATATCTTATCACGAGAGAGCACACCGGCACACGAACACCACGTGTGAGCTCACCATGGAGCTGTATTTCCCTAGAGCGTATGTTTTGCAGTATTTCCGAGATGAAACGTACGTACTACCGTGAGAAATGCTCGTCTATAACGTCGTCGGAAGAGTATCAGCCTAGTAGTGGAGGCATGTGGCGTAAAGAAATAGAAAGTACACAGAAATCACGACTAATCCATGGCTACCCGATAGTTGGCGTCGGTGTGTCCTCTCAAAACAGAGATCACAAAGGATCGTATCACACTCGGTCGTAAGCAGTCGCAATTGCGCGAACGAGCCTTTAAAATTCTTCGCTGCCACGGGTACCTTCGGCCTTTCATCACTAAAAAGGCTTCGAATGTATCCTTCCAAAACCGCTCTGCACGCTTCGTCCTAACCAACCATCGCCGCGTGCGAGCCTATAGGTATTCCACGGAAAACTCTTTAGGTCGGCCGGTTCTACTGCACAGACCCAAAATCCCTTCATTTGTTTCTTTCTTTTTTTTCGTAGAATGTTTAAACAACGTGCTTTACCCTAAAATAATAAAGCCGTCATTTACGTCTCTTTCCGCATCGATCGTCTTCATGAGATGGGTATTCCCAATTCTAAAAGCGTTCTCTCTTTGGTGTTCTTTTATACTCCGAACGTCAATTGCTCGGAACCACCTCCCCGCTTCGATTGCTAACATTGCCGATGTATTTTTTTTTTTTTGCTTTTTTTGTTTAAGAATTCACTTATTAATACGTCCTTCGCAATTGCTCTCTAATAAGACTGCCCAATTTTAATATAAATAAATAAATTAACGATGCACCCTCGATACAAGCCGAGGTCACACTCCTGATACATCATGCAAAGGACAGTCAGTAAACACTGAGGCGGGTTTGTTTCTTGCATGACCGTTTTCGAACATTGGTCATACGAAAACGCTCAACAAACATGATCCACGTATCCTACATACAGGGTGTTTCACGAAAGTGACAAATTCTATATTGCGAAAACTACGCATAGCAGCAAAAAAAAAAAAAAAAAAAGGCTTGTGTCGTTTTATTTAGGACCCTATTTAGGAAAATTATTAAAGTTCGGGATACTTAAGTTGCGAATTATTTTCGCGTAAATAATGTTTTCAATATTGAGTTTAAGAGCACGGTTTCAATTAGAATCTTCCTGAAAATCATGGAAAAACACAAAATCAACAAATTGCAGAACGATAGAAGGCACGCGACGTATTCTATGGCTTTCTGAAAAACCTTACAACTTTTACGGGTTTTTAAGTTTCGGTTTGCAATCGGAGCACTTCTCGGTACCGAGGGCACCGCGCCCCGTGGAGAAATAGTGCAACCAGCCTCTGCTGCGTTGCGCGTGGACAGCGCAGCAGAGGTTGGTTGCACTATTTCTCCACAGGTGCGGTGCCGTCGGTGCCGTGAAGTGCTCCGATCGCAAACCAAAACTTAAAAACACGTCAAAGTTGTTAGGTTTTTTCAGAAAGCCATAAAATACGTCCCTTCTATTGTTCTGTAATGTGTTGATTTAGTGCTTTTCGATGATGCTCAGCAAGGTGCTAATCGAAACCATGCCCTTAAACTCAATATTGAAAAACATTATTTACGCGAAAATAATTAGCAACCTAAGTAGTCCGAGCTTTAATAATTTTCCTAAATAGGCCCCTGGCCTAGGACCAAACCAAACCAGCCTTTGTTTGGTGCAATGCGTAGTTTTCGCAATATCGAATTTATCCACCTTTCGTGAAACACCCTGTATATATGACGCAAGCATGCTTCGAATATACTTGAGTCGTGTGTGCAAATATTTCGGTCATCATGTCTGCGGCGAATACCGTGGATGGATGTTAATGGCTATACCCTTTGTACCGGGCGGTAGCTTGAGCCACCTAGCGTAAATCTAAAAAGACCGTCTTTTGTATGATGTATTAGCAATCGGACTGCAGCTTAAGGCTCTTAACAGCAGACTTAAAAGAATTTAGAAAAAAAAAGCTCCTTACACTAAAAGAGTGATTCCTCTCTGGGTTAGCTTTATCGGTCGCGCGCCGCCGCGAAAGTAAGGACGCGGGTTAACATAAACTTTAGTAAAAAAAGAAAACAAAAAAAAAAACAATTTTTTTTAATGCAAAATGAAGGCAGTATGAATGAACGTGTTTTCACGGCTTCACTTTTCCCAATGCCTGTACGTTCGGCGAAGTACAGTTTGACGCATTTAACTATTGTTCTGGTAAATTCATTGACTTGTGCCTTCTTTCTAAATTGAAAGACTCTCATCAAGATGACGTTTCACTTGAGACGCTTCGTCCTAACCCCTGTGGAAGCGGCTACGGCGGTTGCGCACATATGTGCCTGTACGGTCCCGATCACCGCCATACATGCATATGCCAAAGCGGTTTTCTTAAAAATGGAACAAAATGTATCGGTGCGTATATTTTTTTTTTCCTCCGAAACCTTCTTAAGCGAAATATTAGCTGGGTACATTTATTTCTTGTATGAGCAAGCCAAGCTACTCGACAGCCTTGCGCCCACAAACAAGCCTAACTTTACAATCTAAAAAAAGAAAAAAACTCCCTGTGCGATTATTTTATTCTTAAACCAAACGGGAAGCCGGATGTCATGTTGAGAACATCTTTTGAAACCACCTATACCCGTTTCCACCTCAAGAAAAAAGGAAGTTTTGCTCCATGTTCCTACGCCGCGTGAAGAAGTTCTCACAAAATTTGGTCGTCGGAGGAAGAAGCGATGCTTTTGGCGTTTGAAACGTGCACCTCTTGATAAGAGAACACATATCTAATCTAAAATACACCTACATATGTCTCAATTCTCAGCGTAACGAGGGAAATTAGTATTGCTCCGCGAGGAGCCGAACTTTTTTTACTGGGTGATGATTCCACGTCAGTTCATGCAATGATGGTCCGGGTCATAATTTAGATATTTTTGTTAAAAATATATATGAAAGCCATGTTCTTGGGAGGAACATTCAGCTAGATATGAACGCCGTAACATTTTTTTTCGCTGAGAAATAAAATAGAGAAGCTTGAGGCGTGGAAATTGAGAAGATTTCACAATGCTAGTTTGCACAGTCGTCATTTCCTTATCGAACCTTTCACGGCACCATAACTTTTTTAATAGGTTTTACAAAGGTTATACAACACATACATAAAAAATTAAAAATATCCATAAAATATTTCAATGCAAACAAAACTATCAAACATGGCACAAAACGCGTTTTAGAGACATATTCACAATTTTTTTGCAAATAAACCATCTTTCATAATACTTCACAAAACATATCAAAATGCGCGTATTTAAATATTATTTACGAATATATAAAGATAATATGCCCCCCCCCTTAAACATATTTTTGTTATCAACGCGGAAATTCGGCTGATTTCTCAAAATGTGGCAAGATTGGGCGTCGATATTTAAAAAAATCCATCTTTTATTTTCTTTAAACTCCCCTTGGCACTTTGCAGTGACTTGAACTAACCTGTGATGGCAAAAGATTGAGTAACATATGACCTCCAAGCGGGAAAAGCTACTACAAACCTTCACTCGGAGCGAGCCGACGTCTTCGTCATAGCGGCTTTGTCGCACAGCACCAAACGTTTGGGCGTTAGTTATGGCATGTATTTTATATTATTAAAATTCTTTTTTTATACGCGGTGAGTATTAGTGACGTGAAAAGAAGCTTTGAGCTGGAATGCCATTAATTAGCTTACAATTCACAGGAATAAAACGGCCCCACTCTGCAAATTCGCTACCTATGCATCATACATAAGCTTAAAACTTTCAGTTGCGCGAATGGCCATGTATACATCTGGCCTCTCGGCATATGATGACTTTCACAGATGAGTTTCCTGGATTTCTTTGACAGGTTTTACGGTGGTCCACTTTGCTTGCTTCACCGCACGAAACTCTCGAACTCTAAGACAGTTGTGAGCACTGCGCAGAGTGGTTTGACGCGTTTTGCGAAGTGCTGAAGGCATGTAGTTCCCATCAGGAACGCAAGCGATTGTACGTGCTTCTGCCACCAATCATCCGGAAGAAAACAATATTGCGTCTGGTGTCGGGTGCGACGGCCTACATGATTGATCAAACATGAAAACTGAAGCGCAAAGGTGGTGTTTGGGCAACCCCTGATCCCTACATGGGGAAAAAGGCGAATGCCGAAGACGTGGGGGTTGCAATTGAGTACTACACACGCGACGACCTCGCATGCTCTGTTCAAAGCCCCGACAAAAAGGACGTCGTCAAAGCCATGATCAACGACATGTTCAAAGTCGTAAAAAGGTTTATGACCCGCTCTATTAAGGAAGCTTACCAGCTGTTTAGGAAGGACCATCCCCAACCCGAACTAGGCATCTCCAAATTTTATTCCCTACGACCAAAATGGGTAAAAAAAAAAGTCCCGAGCACGAGGTGTGCGCATGCATATATTGCGTCAATTTTCAGTTGCTTTTAACGGCAATAACAAATGCCCCAAAGAAGACATTTACTGAAGACGACCTCAAGCGCATCTACCTCTTCTGCGCTCCACAAAACGATTGCTTTCTGCGCCGTTGCGAAAAGTGCCCAAAAACGCAGAGCATCTCGCTGCAGTCGCTTCATCTCGACGAAGACCAAGAGATCTGTTTCGCGTTATGGGACGCTGGCGCTCTCGTCAAAAAGGTTATGGACACTTCTGCCTTCCTGCGGCAATAGGAGAGCGAAATGTATATGAGGCATTCTTACATCCTTGACCTTGAACGAAGCCTGATACATGACACAAGAACCGCCTTACCACCCAAGGCAGTGATGTTCCACTTCGATTTTGCGGAAAAATAGACAGTACTCTTTCCAACCGAAGTGCAGAGTTTTCATTGAAAAAAAAACTCAAGTGTCTCTCTCCACAAGTGTGGTTACGTCCACGCAAGGCACGCAAAGCTTTGCCGTTGTCACCGATGGTACACGAAACATGACACAGCTCACGCTCTTCTAGCCACATAGGCCATAAAAGAGTATGTTAATGTTCATTTCCCAGTCTTTTTTTAAATAATTTTTGTATCAGACGGAGCGGCGGCGCATTTCAAGAATCGCTTTCAATTCCACGAATTGTCTCGGAAGCCGCACTCTTCGGCAAGATGGATCTTTTCAGCCACTGGACACGGAGAAAGCGCTTGTGATGAAGTAGGTGGAAGAACCAACGCTCACCAAGTTGAGATCTTCGCTCAACTCAACGATTGCCACCGCTAAAGACTTTGTGGAAGTGCTACGTAAGAAAGTAACAAATGTCTGCATGTTCCACCTGTCTGTGGAACGGGTTCGAGAGTTTCGTGCGGTAAAGCAAGCAGAGTGTACCACCATTAAACCTGTGAGAAGAATCCAGGCTTCTCATCTGTGGAAGTCATCATATGCCGAGAGGCCGGATGTATATATGGCCACTCGCATAACTGAGAGTTTTAAGCTTATCTATGCATAGTTAGCGAATTCGCACAGTGGGGCCGTTTTGTTCATATGAATTGTAAGCTAATTAATGGTATTCAAGCTCAAAGTCCATTTTCGCGTCACTAATACTCAGCCCTTATGAAAAAAAGAATTTTAATAATATAAAATACATGCCATAACTAACGCTCAAAACGTTTGGTGCTGTGCGGCAAAGCCGCTATGACAAAGACGTCGGCTCGCTCCGAGTGAAGGTTTGTCGTAGCTTTTCCCGCTTGGAGGTCATATGTTACTCAATCTTTTGCCATCACAGGTTAGTTCAAGTCACTGTAAAGTGCCAAGGAGAGTTTAAAGAAAATAAAAGATGGAGTTTTTAAATATCGACGCCCAATCTTGCCACATTTTGAGAAATCAGCCGAATTTCCGCGTTGATAACAAAAATATGTTTAAGGGTGGGCATATTATATTTATATATTCGTAAAGAATATTTAAATACGCGCATTTTGATATGTTTTGTGAAGTATTATGAAAGATGGTTTATTTGCAAAAAAATTGTGAATATGTCTCTAAAACGCGTTTTTGTGCCATGTTTGATATTTTTGTTTGCATTGAAATATTTTATGGATATTTTTAATTTTCTATGTATGTGTTGTATAACCTTTGTAAAACCTATTAAGAAAGTTATGGTGCTGTGAAAGGTTCGATAAGGAAATGACGACTGTGCAAAGTAGCATTGTGAAATCTTCTCAATTTCCACGCCTTAAGCTTCTCTATTTCATATCTCAGCGAAAAAAATTGTTACGGCGTTCATATCTAGCTGAATGTGCCTCCCAAAAACATGGCTTTCATATATATTTTTAAGAAAAATATCTAAAATATGACCCGGACCATCATTGCATGAATTGACGTGGAATCACCCAATGGTTCTTGAGGTGAAAACGGGTATAGTGTACAAACGGTTTGGTTTGAAAGCTCGTTATCTCCGCAGGCACAATGAGCTCGACCTTTCTCCTGTGCAATGTGCCTCATATACCGGACTACTGTCCCCACCTAGTAATTTGCAGGAGCAAATTTTAAGTAAAACTATATATATTGTAAGGATGCACGCTGGTATGAGCTCGCTCCCTGGTGTCTTGCTGAACGCAGAAACGCTAACAAATAATAGCAAAGGCTGGCGATGAGCGAGATGATCGCTGTAATTATTACTTTTAACTTAATATATCTACTACGACCATCCGGGAGCAAGCTAATAAACCGATGTGCAGACGACTACAATCCGGTATAAGGCATAGGAAATCCGGGGGCGCCACTTTTACTCTATTTTTAATAGTTTACCACCTTCGACTCAAGTTCCGCCGCAAATAGACATCAAACTCTTTCGTATATTACGTTCCCTTGGCTAATTTTGGGGATGTCTGGAATCTGAATTTTGCAAGGTGCATGAAAGGTCAGTCCACATTGAGAAAAAACAAATGTCCGCTTTATTAACGCGCAAAGAAGCATGTTTCTACAGGAATCATAATTAGCATAAACTGTCTTTCGCAATGCCCATCACGTCTCGTCATTATAATAGATCTTGGAAAAAAAAATCGCCGTTTAGGACGTACCTCTAGATACTCGGTACCGCGTTAAATTTCAACTTTTAAACGTGTATGGTCCGCGTACCGTAGCGGTACCTTCGCAGGTCTTGTTTTCCAGTCAGACTCGTTTTGGTGTCCCTGTCATTTTTCTGTCGCTTTCAGTTGGAATCTATTTGATTGGCCACCGCGTACTCTACGGGGGAAGAGCCACGCTCAGACGTCTTTTTTAAGGTGTAATGCATCTCAACGTACGCAGCACCGATTTTTAAAGGGGTCGTGAAACGATTTTTTAACTTTCGCTAAATGCAACTTAGAATCACTCGCTCACGTTAGTAACTGAATAAACTTCTTTTAGTTTTTTTTATTTCTAGGCAAGGGCAGTCGAAAAAAAAACATTCAAGAAATATGAGCACCTTTCATCCCCTCATCTCGGAGTCAGAACAAGCGACCACGTGACCTGGTGCCTATCCTATGCCGCCAACGTTAGCCATAGCCGCGCACTGGAGTTGCAAGTGTAGAAAGCGTTTGCTGAAATCCAGGTATTGTTAGAGTCAGGCTATTGTCATCACCGCAGTGGTTGGACACGAGCCACCACGCGAGTGTCCGTCGACGCATTCATTATTTGTTACGAGCCGAAGTCCAGTGCTCACGAAGTTCTCGTGTCCAATACATGAGTCGCGCTGGACTGTCGTCAGGCAGGCGATTTCGATCGCGCAAATACATCGATAAGCTTCGCGAAGGAAAGACTCAAAGAAACAGTCCCTTTTGATCCTCGCAACTTGACCGCGACGAACAAGATTCTGAATCAGTGGCGGTCTGTGCGAGTACATACTTTGGCCAAACTAGGGCCAGCACACATCTGCAAAGTCAGAAACACTCGAAGCCGATATCGTTTCATAACCCCTTAAGCTTATACTCCGGGTGAAACCTGAAGGCGACGAGCGTGTAAACGACTTTAGTTTCGCCGGCTCAATGTTTCCCGAATTCTGCGAACTGTGGTTTCTTTTAATACTTCGGGAGTATGAAATTTCGCGGATGAAGGGGGTTGTGTGCTGTGTATTTGTTACCGCAGTAAAACATCCTAGCGTGTTCTATTTTTCGCGATATTATTGAAGTCGCGAAAATCAGGTACCCGTGAAAATAAAGTCGTTTACAGTACGCAAGTGTGACCGTTTTTGTTTTAAATACTTTAAAGACAGAGACGAGTGTGCTGAAGGAAGACGCTATTGTGACGAGGGTTGCGTCAATACTCCTGGAAGTTACCGCTGTCAGTGCCCGGATGGTTACGACCTCGGTAGGGACCACAAGTCGTGCTTAGGTGAGAGCGCTATCTCTTCTCCGAAACCTTTTTTTTAACCCCGAAGGTCACCGACACCGTGGAAATTTAATGTGTAAAAGAAAGTGACGTCCGTCATTTGTTCGAATTTTCTTCGTCGTCCAGATATTGACGAATGTCAGGCCAATAACGGTGGGTGCCAGGAAGAATGCATTAATCACATTGGTTCCTTCAGCTGTCGCTGCAAGTCACCCGCCTATTCACTGACTGCGAACGGAAAGACGTGCGTCGGTAAGTGAGCAGATATTAAAGAAGATTTTGTATTATTTATCCATGCCGCGTGACTCAAACGTGACTGCGGTAAATGGTACTCGAAGGTAAAGTGTTCCGACAGACTCTGTAAGCATTTTCCTCTTAACATCGTGGCACTTTTTTCCTTCAGGATGAGCATTTTCTTCTCTTTAACTGTTTGTTCTTAGGGTAGCTTTCTGATGTAAGGTTCTGTCACTTTGTCCCCATGTCAGGCAAAGATGGCGTCCTTGAAGCAAGAAGCGAAGAGGGACAGTGGTCCTGTATCTATTTGCGTTGTGGAACGAAACTTCCTTTGAACTCTTCTAGAGCTGCTTGCATATTTTATCTGCCGGACGGATATAAGGCGGCGATAGAAAATCGTGAAGTATATTACTCAAGTAGGGACAGAACGAGCGGGTTGGTATGGATAGTTAAACTTGAGGAAGAAAACGAGAAAGGACGGACAAACACAAACTTCCATTCTTTCTCGTTTTCTTCCTCAAGTTTAAATATTACTCAACGTCCTGTACTATGGCAACAACAGAACCTGTCGCACCCTTCTTACTTTAGACCCAAAGAAATCTGAGTCGTTTACTTTACCGCAGAACACTTGGGATCAGCCAATAGCTGCACTCAACAGCGGGCGCACGACCAGTCACGGAGCTGAAAATATGTTTAGGCCTAAAAAAAAGTGCGATGTGAACTGAGCATGATGAAACGTCATAGTCAATTGTTTCCTTTGGGGTCAACACATCCTTACAGCCTTCCCGTTCGCCAAGCTCCCATTGTAGAGATTCTCGCCTCTAAGGATTACATTAATTTTTTTAGAGCGCGGTCCTTAGGCGCCCGTTTCCGGCTTGAGCGGCGTCGCCGTCGGCATCGGCGTAACCGCGCGTTGCATTATGGGAAGTTCCCATAATGACGTCACTGGGGTTACCCTCGTGAGGGTGACGAGATTTACTCTCACAAGGATTACGAGCGTTACCCTCACGAGGGTCACAATCGCGTTACCCTCACAAGGGTTACAAGGGTTGGTTACCTTCAAGAGTGTTACATTCATGAGGGTCACGAGGGTTACTTTCACGAGGGTCATGAGGTTTACCCTTGTGAGGGTCACGAGGGTTATGAGAGTTGCCCTCTCGTAACCCCCCCCCCCCCCCCCCCGTGAGGTCACGTGACCCCCTTCCCCCCTGAGTTCAGGTGGCCTCAGGGAGTCACCTATCCCTCATTAGTAAGTACCCTTCCATCCTCCTCCTCAAGAGCTGCGCTCTAATCCGGCGTTACAGGGGAGTTGTAAACGGCTTTCATTTTTCGCTGCAAAAATAAACTACGCATCGCCGCGTGCTGATTCTTCACCGAAATGTAACCCTATAGCGGTTCTCTGATGCTCGGCTACGTAGAAACCATTTCCCCAGACCAATTGGGAAAATACCTTCATTTTGTTTCGCTATTATGGACAGTTCACATTATGAACGCTTTTGGGGAGGAATGGAAGTGTCCATATTTATGAGACGTCACTATTAAATTCCTTAGTGATGAAATCAATGACTGCATGCTCTGAAGCCACGTAGCAGGTTCGTCCCCCTTACACCGTTGCGTAGTAGTGGCATGACAGAAGTTTCTGGTTGCAGAACACACCGCAGGCAAATGATATCCAAAGTGGACAATCGTGAATATTTGACATTACAATCAACCGTCAAATAGGCCTACATGTTATCATGGCTGTGCATTTCGAGAGGGCAAATTTTACATTTGCAATAAAACTTGAAATAATAAGGTATGTGGAGGAGACAAGAAGTTTTGTGTCGTTGGAGCCTACAAGATCTTTCAAAGCACTTTGGGTAAACTACTCAAGAAAGGGAGTGACACAAAAGCAGGACAGAACACATTCTTATGCATGGCATATTAAGACATTGAGAAACCACTACAAAGGTGCTTTAGAGATGTCGGGGCAAGCAACATTCCTGTATTGGAATTTGGGACCAATCTTTTAAAAGAAAGTGACAGATTCCTTTTGCTCTTGATGTGAAGAATCTTCTAAAAGAATGTGAAAGATTCCTTTTACTTTTAATGTCAGAACTTCACTGCAAGTGGATAGCTAGATTACAAGGGCCACTATGGCATAGGAAACAAGACCTAAGGGATGGATAGATGGATGCAAACAGCTGTACCCTTTGCAAAAAACTGTAGTGCCAGTGTTTGTGATGGGACTATTGTGGTGGCAGCGCTAGCGTCGAAAAAGAAAGTCAATGACTGAACGATCAAATGAAGCCACTATGAAGCCCCCCAAAAATAGTTCCAATCACTTGCCTACGACATGTGTCTGCAGTGGCAAAAACATCCCTGGCAAACGATTCACACTAGCTGGACAGTTCTCATGGCAGCTAACAGAACGAAAGGCCCAGATTACAGACCTTTTGAAAACCAACACGGATGACACCACAAAAATGTATCCTTAGCGATGGGAAAGTTTAGAACGCCAAAATGTATGAATAACTTTCACAATAATACTATCAAATAAGTATAAAACATGAAATCATGGCTGACTGGGGGCAAGCTTCGCAGTAAGGCCTTTGGATGCATCGCTCAATGTGTGGGCATCACGAAGGACAAGGTCTCCTTGACGTATTTTTTCAGGCTTCCGGTGCCGGTCGTAATAAGTCTTCTGGACCTGCCTCGCTTTCTCTTGGTGATCTCGAGCGGAATCGAGTGCGTCGTGCAAGCGCCGAGTGACCTCCGCCGCAAAAGCTTGACATGCTGAAGCTGGTTGCTCACTGCCATCCCTGAGTCCCGCCACTTCCCACGGGATGCGAAGCTCTCGGCTGTAGCAAAGGAAGGCTGGGGTAAATCCGGTGACGACGCTTTCTGCCGTGCGCATCGCGAAAGCGATTTCAGGAATGTGCTGGTCCCAGTTTCAGTGGGTGGAACAATGTCCTCTAAGGCTCTGTTTTACCGTGCAATTGTGCCTCTCCACCATTTTTCCTGCTGGCCTGTATGGCACAGTGGGGCGTTCGGCGATCCCCAAGTGCCCTAGGAGACATCGTTACGGTTTACTGACGAATGGCTTGCCGTTGTCACTGGAGATTGAAACAGGTGTGCCGAGTCGGCAGAAAACTTGCACCATGCACCCAATAATGTTTTTGCTGGTTGCTGTTTTTAGAGGAAAAAGTTCCATAAACTTTGTAAATTTGTCGATTATCACCAAAAGGCGTTTGTTGCGTCTAGGTGTGGAGGGCAGAGGTCCTACAATATCCACACTTAGCTCCTCCATCAGTGCAGTGGCCCACTGGCTGCTCATAAGTCCTTCAGGCTCCTAGCAGCGTGCTTTAGTGCGTTGGCACACATGACAGCAACGAACGTGCCTGGCCACGTCAGCTCTCATTCACAACCAGACAAAGCGGGACGAGACGCGTTTTAGAGTTTTGAAAAAAACCTGCGTTAGCGCTTGCGGGACGGTCATGTGACATCTTGAGTGCCAATTGGCGAAGGTGGCTAGGGACCAAGGGCACCTTTCTTTCCCCGCGTATTTGAACAAGCAGACCGTTGGCTTCTACTTCGGTTGTTTCCGCCAAGTCCGCCAGTAGGCGCCGGTCAGGGTCATCATCAGGAAGCTTCATGCCTTGTTTAACACTCAGGAGCCTCGACAAAAGAGTGTCCTGCTTTTGCTTGTCAATTAATCTTGCTCTGTCGCTCAAGCAGGTGACATCGTCGATCAGGGACACTGCTGCAGCTGCCTCAAAAGTGATCTGAGGCTCCGACTCTGGTGCAGGTAGGAAACAGCGCCTCAGGCAGGCTCTGATCAGGTATGTCTTCCTGCTGGAGAGATGCCCCACTGAGGGCATCTGCTAGGATATTCGCAAGCCCTCTCCGGTGCTTGATTTTGCAGTTGAAGCCCTGGAGTCGAAGCACCCAACGCTTGACTCTTGGGGAGGCCTGGTCGGTGCTGAACATCCATGATAGTGAGGAGTGGTCACAGTGGATTTCAAACTCGGTAAGCTCGGTCTAAGGTATGAACTTGTCTACTGCCCTTGACCACTGCGAGACACTCCCACTCCTGGACGGTGTAACGTCGCTCCGATTTGTTAAGAACCCTGCTGATGAAGGACACCGGTTGCAGTTGCTCGGGGCTTTCCTGTAGAAGTACTGCAGCTACGAGAACTCCGCTGGCATCTGTTTTGATGACGAAGGGCCGATTCAGGTCTGGCAAACTCATCACGGCATCGTGAGCCAGTGCATCCTTGAGCAGGGTGAAAGCATGCTGCTGGTGGATGGATCCACTTTCGGTCATTTCTCAAGTGATGGGTGAGGCGGCGGGCAATAATGAAAAACTATTCGATAAAGTTTCGCTAATAGCTAACCAATCCTAGAAAGGCTTGCAGCTGCTTGACTGTGGTAGGTCGGGGGTAGTCGAGCGCCGCCAACACGTTCCCGTCGTCCTGCCTACATTGTCCAGGGCTTATTACATGGCCCAAAAACTTGAGTGACTGGCAGCACACCTGAACTTTGTCGGGCTTCATGGTGAATCCTCCTTATTTGATGCGCTCCAGAACTTCTCGGACATGTGTGACATGGCTGTCCAGCGTCTCTGAATACACAAGTACATCGGCCATAAATTCCATAAAAAATTGGTGGCTGATTCCATTCAGGACTCTGTCCATCAGCGTTTGAAAGGAGGCTGGACCACCTGCAACACCAAACGGCATCATTGTAAAATCGAAGGTGCCCTGGTGGCATATGAACGCCGTTTTCGGAATGTTGTCCGCGCGCATAGGGATTTGGAAACAACCCTGCGAAAGGTCAAAGCTTGAGAACCACTCCGCTCTCCCGAGTTGTGCCATCAGCCAGTCGGTTCGGGGCATCGGATACACAGGCACCCTGGTGCGTGTGTTGAGCGGCCGGTCAGGCGAAAGCCTCCGAACTTTTTGGCCACAAAAACAGGTGCACCGGTCCACTCACTGGTACTACAACGCACAACTACCTGTTCCAGCAAGTCTTGACGGCAACTGTCAATGATCTTTTGTTTCTTGGAATTGACAGGGCGCAACTTGCAACGAACGGGTGTACTGTCTCTTGTGTCAATTCGGTGCTGTGCAAGGGAAGTGCAGCCGGGAGTTTTGGTGAAGATTGGCCCAAAGATCTCCAACAATTTCTTTATA